GCCAGAGACTAATTCTCTAAAAAATATTCTTCTATAGTTGATCTACAATAATCAAATTGAAAGAAAATTAAAGCATAATATTAGCAAACGATGTAATAATAATTATAAAAAGCTGATAATAATATTCAAAAAATATATATATACAAGAATATATTTTTTATGTAACGTTTATTAAAAAAAGGATTGAAAATAGTTAGCTCTTGCATTATGATGATTAATAAATGATATTGAGAAATAAAACGTCCAAAATACGAGCGTAGGTATTTGCGAAAAGTAAATTAATACTTCTAAAACATTTCTCGGCTAGAGCAAACAAGTTTTAAATTTTCTCTTTCTCGTTCTTCAAATGTTTTCTCAGCGAATAAGAGCGAACGCACACAAGGCGCATTTAACGTGTATTCTCTCACGAGTTTTTATGGCAACATTGCAACTACGATGGCAGGGAAGCTCTACTTCGTGGCATCGCGACCTTGAGCAATTGCGAGCCCGTGCCGATAAAACCCACGTAAATCAATCCAAATCACGATCGTGATCGGCCTGACGTCTAACTTGGAAGCATCGCGGCGCCGCGATTTGAATCTTATGCGTGAACCGCCTTGAAAAATCCTCCGTCTAGAAGAATCGACCACGCGTGGCTGCGGGAGATTACGCGTGACTGCGAACTAGGCATGAGACGTTATGTCAATTCGATACGTAATAACCTTATCGGTTGTAACGTCAAGACGTAACATATCTCTCGCTATCTCCCTTTGGCACCGCGACGTAATATCCCCGTAAAGCCCCGATATATCGAACGCGGCTCTTGCAATCTCGATATTTCGCGCACCATTTTAAAGTCACCGGTACGTACATTCGTTCGCCGTATTTAACAATACGATCTATATTTGTTTACGTTTTGATGTAGCCAATTCTTCTTAGCGATATAATATGACATAATACATAATTTTTTTGAAATTTATGTGAAATTTAAAAGACTGCATCTTCTGACAATGAAAGTCGAGAAAGGGAGCAAAGAGAGGTGCGATTAATAAACTGAACAAACGTTATATATGGATCACGCGATGTTATCGAACGCGCGCACTTCGATCGTTCCGCGTGCGCAACGTCACGTTGCGCACTTCACGCCGTACTCAGCGGCGCACCCGACTGAGAAATCTGCCTCTGGCCAAAAGTCGCGAAACAATCTGCGGTCTGCTCGCCAAGCAATCTCAGATGCGAATTTAAACCGAGAATAACCGCGTTGCGTTTATTGCAAACGGAATCGTGTTTATTACTGCGAACGGGAACACGTGTGTTCCGAATTTGACATGGGAGCACGTTTCTGTTCTCCTTACCCAACTATCTTCTCGTTACATTATTTCGACGACGATTTGCATGTTCATTTCCATACAGCACACTTTATCCGAGGGATGTCTCGAGAATATCCTTTTATCCTTAGGAAGTTCTCTGGTCTTTAGAATATCCCTTGGAAGTTCGTGCTGTATGGGTTGCGGACTGGACAGACATTTCAAATTGGAAGGCGCGTCTCGTATGCGCATGTACATCGAGAATTCCTACCTTCACAACGTCCCGTGTCCGGCGCCGTGTTCGCACTTTGCACACTGCGCACGCACTTAAAACCGCTCCGCTCGATAATCCACTTCCGTCCTCCTCCGTCGGCCGCCGGCGCGCGACTGTGGATAATTCGCGGTCGCGACCGGCCTAGATATATACTGGCTATTCTTAGCTCGCGTCGTCACCGCTGCGCGCGCCGATTCGCCAGCGGTGACGTCGCGCGCAGGCGCGATTGACCGCGGCGCGACTCCGCGAATACGCGCCGGCGGACCCCGCCCCCCACCCCACTCCGCGGCTAGCTGGCTGGCTGGATGGCTTGGCTGGGCGCGACGCATCGGCCGCGACATTTGTTGACATGAAACTGTCAGGGAAAGTACGCGCACCGCTCCCTTACCGCGCCACGCCGGCACATTCGATCCGCGTGCGTGTCGCGCTTCTCTCTAGGCACTCCTAGAGTGCTCAATACTGCCAGAAACGTCAGTCTTCTGACGACATCAAGGATTTTTACTTCGATACCGACGTCGTCTGGAAAAATGGAGGAATAAAATCGAATACAAAATATTTACTCAACATCACAGATTCTAATATAAAAATAAAATTAGAGATTATGTAATTATATTTTTATTACAGTGTTTTGTTATATTTACGATTGTTAAAAATGTAATCAACTTTATAAAACATTGACTTTGATAATTCAAAGAATAAATAAAATACTAATAAAAAATGTATATGAAGATGTGAAATAAAAATAACGACGAAAATATATTAACATTTATAAATATAGATTATTATTAAAAATGCTAATTTGTAAAGTGCTAATTTGTTAAATATTTTTAATATGTTCGATATGTTCTAATCTTGCATTGCATTTTTATGTATTTTATGAATCAAATATTAATTCTTAAATATTGCAAAGACAATAATATGATCAATTACATCTCTTGGATGAGTGAATATAATTATTATTTTTCGCCACGTTTCTTTACATAATGATTATATTGATTCATATATACAAACGAGCACATTTAAAAAAAAAACAAATTTAAAAAAAAATTTCTAAAATTTGATGAAAAAGTAGTGAAAATTATGACTATTTATACTTTTTGAATAATGATAAAGATAACGAATTATTTTTTTTAGTGGATAACGAATAACAATGAAAAGTTATTGTTTTAATGGATAATGGTAATGAGTCATTTTTCAAAAATATTTTTTTCAACTCTGAATTCTTGTTACAAATTACAACATAGAGATTTCATACATATACATTTATTCTATACATGTTTTAAATACATGTTTCAAAAGTACATTGCGTGTTTCTATAAAATGAGTGTCAAATAAATATTCAATCCTATACATTGGTGTTAAAGAAAAAGAACAAAGACGTTTAAAGAAAATAAAATAAATGATAATACCTTATTTTTTTTAAATAAAAAACCATGTGTGTATTGTATCGTTACGAAAAAAATAAGTATAAATAAATAAATATGTATACAGAAACTTCTTCTTGTGACATTTTTATTAATAGCTTTTTTTTAGTTAATTTTTGATGTTTTTTTATAATATTTCTCAACATCTATCATGATACCGTCGATTTTATTTTCATTAACTAATAATATCTTTTACAATACTGATGTCTTTTATGATCGAAGATTTGAGTCGATCGAACAGGATCGATATATATATATATATATATACGAGACGATTGTCGCAGGTGTGCGGGTGAACAACAGATTTAGCATGTGGTCAGGTTGGGTGGGTGGGCGAGATTTATGGCGAATGGAAGCGCGACGGTAATGGACGATCATTATTACCGCGGCTTGTCGTGTCTATTAATTTACTCGCGGTAGAGGCTTTCGAAAAGCCTTGAGAGGCGCTGCTGCACGGTGCCCTGCCCTGCTCGCAACTATCCTATGAAATCACGCTGTTCCTCGGCAATGCCGCATTATGCGAAAATCGCACGCTAAAATTAGTCACAGACGATTATTACACACGCTGAGAGAACAAGTGGCGGATTTAGGGTTACTTCGAGACTAAACACTTCGATTAACTTATCAAGTAATATTTACTAATACGGATCGATTAATTAAATTTTTTATTTTTCCAATACGTACATACAAGGAAAGATAAAATTGGGAAAAATTATACAGTTTGAAATTTGAGGATAAGCGATTCTAATTGAATCAGAGTTTGATCAAAGTCCCTTAACTAGGAAACTATATTTTACATTTTGACACCCATTTTACAAATTTCTTTTTATTTATTTAAAGAATAATTTTACACAATCATAATAAGCCGGCATTTTTTTACAGGTAAATCAAATCATTTGTGTGAATGTAATCTCAATTAATTATTTAATTATAGTTAGTAGTCTCTTATATTACTTGTGCATATAAAATGTTATTAATAAATAAAAAATTTTTAAATTGCAAATAAATATTAATGTTAAATACATACATTTAAATGAGATTAATTTATGGAATCGCACTATTATTGTTTAATCAATATTTAACAAGCAGAGGGACAAATTATTTCGAAAAGGCATTTATTTATTTTCGAAAACAAATATAATATAAATAAATTATATACTATTGTATAATTATAATATGAATTTTTTATTATTCTTGTTTATAAATTATATTTAATTTCAAACAAACTGAATGAAGAAAAGAAAGGGAAGAAAGATGCTTCCAAATATTGGTTCCAAGGCCTTCAAGATTTGGACACATTACTGTGAGAAAAATCGTCACACTTTCCCAACGTAATCTCCTGTCGATGAAGATATGCAAAACGTAGTTGAGCAATAATAGTGGGTGGCGCATAGTTTACGTGTCCACCCGATTCGAACACGTTTTTCCGCTATTAGTCAGACAGTATGTCCGCGAGTATATCGATATATTTCAACATTAAGCGAAAACCGAATTATTCATGCAATAAGAAAATAAAAATTTTTAATTTTATGAAATTATTGAAATTTTAAATTTAATACATTACATTTTGCTATTAGCTTTAATATTAAAAGTTTTATATAATGCTACTACGAGATGTTTCATATTACATTCTTCATTCACTGATTCTCTTATATTTACATATAGTTTTTATATTTGATTATAAATAAAACGTCATGAGTGTGGTTATATGCTAGTATTTACATATATTTTTTTTACGACTTTTTTGTATGATTCGAATATTTCAAAATTTGACAAGAGCGATTGCAGGCGACATCTCTTGCGGCATGAGCAAAATGTGAAGGAAATATGGCGGCCCACATGATTGAGGAGCGATGTTTCGCAACAGTTTTAAATATTATAAAAGTCGAAATCCCGCACCCAATCTAGGCAATGTGATTGATCTTGAAAATCCAAATCGTGTCAGAGTACGTGATGTTACAATTCATACGTCCTTACAAAAATTAATCGCTATTGTCATTTGTAGGTTAGAAGGATTGAGGCACATGCAACTGGCGAACAGATTGAGGACAATTTTGGTCTTAAATCGATAAAAAAATGGAATATTTATGAGTTATTAGACATTCCTGGTGCGTAAACTTTGTATAAAATAATAATAATAATTAGTCGTTTCTGGACAATATAAATAATATTTCTTTGAAGATATATCGATTTATATTTATTAGTAATTCTTGCTTCATTCTTAAGTGATAATAATAATGTTATTTCGTGAAAAATTAAATTACTTAATTTGTTTGATTCTATATGCTTGCTGATTCTTTTAGGACTCATCTTCATTCAGAATCCATTTACATCTGATGGCCAACGATATTGGATCACAAAGTGCCTGAAAGATTATTCTAAAGAACCATATAAATTAAATATAGACGCTCATAACATTTTAGAAAATGAAAATTGGTGGGACATATGTTTTGGGTGAGAAAATCTAGTTAAATTAATAATATAAATAATGTAATTTATAGTGATATATTTAAAATTCAGCAATTTTAGTGCGAATAGATTTAAAAAAAACTATATCAAGAAAATCTATATTGATATCTATATTAAGATTTTGATTTGTTCTACATAGAACTTCGGAAAAGGCTAAAACCCTCTTACCAAAGCTACGTTGGGCAACACTGGGATATCATCATAATTGGGACACAAAATTATATTCAGAAAACTCGAAAAGCGACATGCCGACGGAATTATCTAGTCTTATGTCTATTCTTGCCAAGGCATTAGGATTCTTGGATTTTAAGGCGGAGGCTGCGATTGTGAATTATTATCGAATGAATTCGACCTTGGCTGGACATACAGATCATTCAGAAGTGAATGTTGCAGCACCACTTTTCTCCATAAGTTTTGGACAGACAGCAATTTTTTTGATTGGTGGTCCTAGACAAGAAGATCCAGCTAACGCAATCTTTCTGCGGAGTGGAGACGTTGTAATAATGTCGGGAAGCTCTCGTTTGAGATATCATGGGGTACCGCGAATTTTACTGGCGTCCAAGTCACCCTGGGACGATAACTGCAAGGACAGTCACGAAAATTTTGTATATAATCTTGACGATTGGCGTAAAGCGCGAACTTATATTGCCGAAGCTAGAATTAATATGAATGTAAGACAAGTTTTGAAACCAGGACAGATTGTACTATGTTAAACTGCATTGTATTTTTGTACATAAGTATTAAACATATTTATTTTGCCAAAAAATATGATTCTTTTATCTTATCTCCGAATATCTTATTAAATTTATATTCAATTGTTTTTAATTTAAAATTAATTAAAAATTATCATTCGATTTTATATGAGTATATTAGAATGTCAAATCAAATAAAAAAGATTATATGTATTAAATAAGTTATAAAGAGAAAATAAGTCATAAAGAGAAATTAATTGTTGATTAAATTTAATTGTAATTATATAATTAAATTTTATAAATGTTAAATTTTGTTAAATTGAAAT